CCGTGTTGGGGGGGGAGAAAAACCCCCCCCCCCCCCCCATCCCCCACCAAGGTCATTGCGATAAACAGTTAAACTGCATGGCTGCATAACAATAGGGTGACACACTGGAACGTATCCATAAACGCGCTGCGACGCAGGATGACCTTGTGATGGGCGGATATCGCTGCGTCTTCCAGCCGTCTGCCATTCCATGCTGAGCCCCCTCTCCTTCTTCTTGTCTGTAACCTGCAGCCGGTCCCGATGTGAAGACAGAATTCTCCTCCCAGAAAACATTCTTTCTTTCTCTTATTACAAAGTCATTCCTGAATTTTATACTTTTATGTCGCCGTTATGAAGAAAAGGAAATTGTAAAATGTCATTTGGTTTTCGATAAACCTTAATATTCGTTGCGGAGTTACACTCTATGACACGCACAGTGTCTCTGCACCTCATACATCAGCAGCAAATATTTACAGATAAAGTTACAAAAGAAAAACACTAAATTATACCGACCAGCCAAAACATTGTGACCACTGAGAGGTGAATAACATTGATGATCTGGTAACAATGACACCTGGAAGTGGGGGGGTGTATTACAATGACACCTGAACTCAGAATGTTATGGCTGATCGGTGTACATTCTAACTGTAACATGCAGCCAATCCTGAAACGAATGCCGTATTTAAGTATAGTAACGTCTTTTGTACTTCCATGTTATCCCTTTTAAAGAGGTGAAATGTAATGTTCAAGCATTTATAAGTGGGCCCCTCAGTCGTCATACGATTGCTGGTGTAGCAGGACACACACGCACACCTTTTATATAGTGAATGAAATCTAGCTGCCAGCTGCACTTCCCCAGTTCTGCCACCTGGCGGAGACAAAGTACAGCAATGGGACATCCATATTCCATGGAACACAAGTACTGAACCTTGAAAATTGCTTTGTTTTGCACTCCACTACCCAGAACAGTGCTGAAACATGTGCCAGTGAATTCCCCTGCTGATGCTTCATTATAGCAACCGCATGAGTACTACAGCAAGTGCCTCTGACGTTAAAAAAAAAAAAAATTATTCTACAGGCCATTCAACATTGCTCTTGTGTCTGTACAGAACACACCTGAAGCCGCCCACCGCCAAACAACTCTTTGATCCAGCAGAAATGAGGACTCTCCACCCACGCCTCCCTCTGATGTGTTTCCCCCTTCTATGACTAAGCGGTATTAGGGGTCGAAATGTGTCACAGGGAGGCTTGGGTGGAACGTCCTCATCTCTGCTGGATCAATAAAGTTGATTTAAAGCTATTCAGACTAGCAGCGTGCGGTTTCACATTTATACAGTGCAAGGTTTTTTTTGGGGGGGGGGCGATGAATCCTAGAAATGGCGTGCATCAGTGCCCGCTATGGGCCAAGCAATGGCATCGTGGGCAGTGTGAATACTAATCGTTACTGTGTTTGGCTTATAAATGAATCCGCGTTATTAGGTCAGCGGTTGGCAACGTCAGCACTCCGGCTGTTGCGGAGCTGCAAACCCCATGAGGCATTGCATGACTCTGACAGCCACAGGCATGACCCCCCAGGGGAGTTGTAGCTTCACCACAGCTGGCGTACCGAGGTTGCAAACCCCTCTATTAAGATGATGTAAGGAATCTTATTTGTTCTTACCTAACCAATAACATTTTGTGGAATTCCCAATAAAGATGTAAAAGATTGTAAGCTCCTTGCGGGCAGGGACTGGTGAGAATGTGCTCTATGTGTTACATAGTTACATGATATTTGAGTTTGAATAAAGACACAGGTCCATCAAGTCCAACCTATTGCATGTATGCAGGCCCGGATTTCCCACAAGGCCACCGCTCGGGGCGGCAGGGCGCAGAGGGGCGGCAGCATCTGTGGAATCCCCCAACGCCCGGAACATGCAGTTCCGGGCGGTAAGTTGCCTTTTACATTTAGCCCTGTTTTGGGAAAGCAGGGCTAAATGTAGCGTGAGGAAGCCGGTGCTTGTTCCCAAATTGTGCCGGGATCCGCCCAGCTGCGTGAGTGACAGCTGGCTCTGCCTATCTAGAGGCAAAGCCAGCTGTACCCGCCCCCTCCCCCGTCCAATCGACCGGTCAGGGCTGCAGGATCGGAGCTGGGGGAATCCAGCCCCTCCCCTGTCACGGCAGAGAACCGTGACAGGATCGAGAGGTGAGCGAGCGCCGGTATGTGTTCTCTCACTTCCCGATCTACTGAGCCGACCTGTGAGTCTCATTGTCACAGGTCGGCTAGAACTATGAGGTGAGAGAAAAGCACCCCACCCCCCCCTCATAGTTCTCCTTCAAATATGTAAAGCGCGGCGTAAATTGTCGGCGCCGTATAAATACCAATAATAAATATATGGCTAATATATAACAGTGGCAGTTTGGAAGCAACAAAACCAGCAGATGGGTCCCCGGCATGCGCTTCAGTTTCTGTTTCCTTCACATGGCGGTTATTTAGCGCGGTGCGAGCTGGAATCCCGCCGGGACTGGATGGATAGCACAATCATTGTTTTTATCCTTTCCGCTAATCATTCATTGGTGGGCAAATTCTATGTTCTGTCTTGGTGACACGATCCCCCATGACATGATTACACGTTACTTCTATCTTTAGTGCGTTAATTGTAGCGTGCGTTTCCCCTGTAGTATGGCGGCACCTCGCTCTGCCGTGCGGGAGACACTTTCATATTTTCTATACGCTCATCTGCACAAAGCTGTGAAGAATCATTTACACCTCGCAGGGGAGACGTGACGGAACGGCTCGGGGGATATCACATGATTTTTAACCTCTTCCTAACCATCAGCCTTAAAGGAGAACTATGAGGGGGGGAGGGGTGCTTTTCACTCACCTCCTTGTTCTAGCCGACCTGTGACAATGGCTCAGTAGATCGGGAAGTGAGAGAACACATACCGGCGCTCGCTCACTTCTCGATCCTGTCACGGGGGGAGGGGCTGGATTCCCCCCTCCCCGCTCCGATCCGCCAGTGCTGACTGGCGGAACGGACGGGGGAAGGGGCGGGTACAGCTGGCTCTGCCTCTAGATAGGCAGAGCCAGCTGTCAGTCACGCAGCTGGGCGGATCCAGACATTATTGTCGGGATCCGCTCCGGCTGCGGCGTCTCAGTATACCGCGAGCTGTAGCTCCCTATATACTGAGCCTAGGGTGACGGGAGGACGCTAGTTTGTGTCCTCACGTTACCCTAAGGACAACTATGGGGAAAAGCCCTGACCTCATAGTTCTCCTTTAAGGCGCTAACCTTAACACAAGGCATTGTATGGGCTTCCAGATCATGTGATCACTGTGATTGGCTGCCACAGTGATCACGTGATTGAGAGTCCTTCTTACCGGATCCCGATCAGTACTCTGTGACAGTGTGGTCCCAGTACTGGGGGACACGTGATTGGAAACTGTAAAGCATATACTGCATGTGGCATATCTGCTCCTCCCCCCACCCCCACACACTTCTGTGCAGCTTAA